TTTGGCACAATGAAATGGTGAAGAATCGGATTCAACACTGAAGTTTATGCAGCTCATGAGGTAAAGACTCACTTTTAATTTTATTTTTATTTTTGTGAAATTTTCTTTCGCGTTGGTCTTCTTGGTAATAATTAGTTCTGAAATTATTTGTTACTGATTAAATTTGTTCGTCCTTAGATCGATCGCATTGCTAGGGTTGCATTTGAAACGGCTCGAAAACGCCGTGGAAAGCTTTGCTCAGTCGACAAAGCTAATGTCTTGGAGGTAATTTATAGACACTTATAAAATATTCATGCTCTTTAAGAAGAAACAGTTTATTTTCGACATTGTTCTTTGGTTTTTGCTTTAGTAATTAATACAATATATTTACTTTTTTTTTTGGCTATGATTTGACAATCGGCAGGCTTCGATGCTATGGAGGAAAATAGTTACAAGTATAGCCTCGGAATACCCTGACGTTGAACTTTCACACATGTACGTCGATAATGCCGCCATGCAACTTGTTCGAAACCCAAAGCAGGTTTAATTTATTTATTATTTATTATTATTTTTTTTTTTCAAGAAACGTGAATGAATCTTAAAAAAAATATGCGTTAATTGTGAATGCAGTTTGATACGATTGTTACGAATAATATATTCGGTGATATTCTATCCGATGAAGCGTCGATGATTACCGGAAGTATAGGGATGCTTCCATCTGCAAGTCTTGGTGAATCGGTACGAGCATCTTGTTCATAGTAATGAATTTTTTTTTATTAAAAAAATAAATAAAAATTCTAGATAATATACTTCTGATGTTTCGGAAACCGGTTATGTAGGGACCTGGATTATTCGAACCAATACATGGTTCTGCTCCTGATATTGCTGGACAGGTTGGTATATATATTTATAAAAAATAATAAATAAATAAATTTAAAAAAAAAATTCTTATTTTTTGAAAGATAAGAGAGTTTAGAGTTTATTGCATTTAGTACCCTAAATTCCTCGCATTATAAATAATAGCAAAAAGCCCCCTACGATGCCTTTTATTTAGCACATAGCCCCCTAAATAGGCGTTTTTAGGGGTTGTTTGCTAATAAAATTGAATCGTAGGGGGGTATTTTGCTATTATTTATAACACGAGGAGTGTTTCGACAATTTATAATAAAATGTGGTTGAAATGCAAAAAAAAAAAATCAGGACAAAGCAAATCCATTGGCGACGGTGCTTAGTGCAGCAATGCTTTTGAAGTATGGGCTGGGAGAGGAGAAGGCGGCCCGAAGAATTGAGGCTGCAGTGTTGGATACTCTCGACAGAGGTTATCGAACCGGTGATATTTATTCGTCTGGACTTGTAAGACTATTTCCTATACAACGCCTCGTTGATTGAATTTTTTTTTTTAATCATTTTGTAATTCAAATCGTTGTTTTTTTTTCTTGTGCAGAAACTAGTGGGGTGCAAGGAGATGGGCGAAGAGGTGTTGAAGTCGATTAATTGCAAAGTCTTCGCCTCTGCGTGACCACAAAAATCGCCAATCTCAAGAACTCGAGTACCGTAAGAGAATGAGTGATAGTACAAAGGGAAATCACTTGTTCCTCTTTTTTTTTTCATCTTTTTTTTTTTAGGCGGATCATCATGACTAGAACACCCTCGTTTACAATGTCGACTTCTATTTATATTATATCGAAACCGGACATGTTTTTGCTTATTGATTCTTGACTCGTCATTAGTTTTTCACAAGTTCGGGGGTGAGATCTGTCGGGTACTCACTTTAATAGTAGAAATACAAAAAGACGGGACGAGTTCAAAGGAAGAAGATACAACAGAGTTAACTCCAACACGTGGAGTTGTTAATATCTTTTAATGGTTTGGTCCGTTCACACAGTCGAGTCCATTTGTTGAGAATATCCAAATGGAAACAACATCAACAAGTTTCAAGCACGAAGTACTCACTCAAACTCAAAAATTCTATATCTACTTTCACTGATCACTGAATTGACTCACCAATACATGCACTTATCTCTCTTTAAAGCAAAGGTATGTAATATTGAATGTGCGCCAGAGTCAACGACTCTCGTTGTACATCAAAGACCGTAAAGTGTCACCGGGAAAAAGACAATGGGTGTCAAAGGTACTACTGAAAGTGCGACAAAGATTACGATTGAGATAACATTTTAAATAACTGGATAAACGGTCAAGATTAATTAAGAAAGAATGGGGGGTCGAAATCAAACTTTTTTTTTTTTTTTTTTTTTTTTTTTTGTTTTCTAGTCAGCAAAAAATCAAAAACATTTATTTCCGAAAAACAGACCACATGATTATCTATATTACAAAAAGGACCTATATAAATATCTGAAATTTCCTCAATTCTTTCTGCCTGGGTTCTCTCTCCTTCATTTAGCGATCATCCCTCAAAATTCTCTCCTATAAAATATAATCCATTTCAGGTAATTTTTCTCGCTTTAAATTTCTCATTGTCAATACATTTTTAGTAGATTGAAATTCTACTTCCGAATTACATGATTTTTTTGCGAGCGTAAATTTTTTCCTTGATTTGTTATTGTTGATGATGATGATGTTTGGTGGGTTTTCAAGAATTAATCGGTTGAATTACGATATGTTTTTTTCTTATATTATTGAAAAACAAATTCAGATTTTCCCGCTTAAATACGCAAATATGGGTTTTGATGAGAACAAATTGAGTACTTTTGGTTTCGTTCTGTGCTAATTTGATTATCTTCTACTGGTGTCACAAAGGTGTTTGTGAAAAGGTCGCAGTGAAGTGATTATTTGCTTATTTTATCTAATTACATGTATGTATATTCTCTTGAAATCAACTCGATTCTGAAGTATTTAATTATTCTCCTTTTTTACGATAACCTAGCCAGTTCGACACTCGATGGACGATTTGCCGGAGCAAGTAGCTTGGGAAATATTGAACAGAATCAAGACAACATCCGATAAAAACTCTGTATCTCTGTCCTGTAAGCGTCTCCACAAATTAGACAACGAGCAGAGAAAATCCATCCGAATAGGATGCGGCTTAAACCCCGCAAACGAAGCCCTAATTTCCCTCTGCACCAGATTCCGGAACCTCGAGAAAATCGAGATCTCCTACTCCGGTTGGATGTCCAAATTGGGTCAGCAATTAAACGACAAAGGCCTCCACAATCTCTCCGCCACCTGTCCCCTTCTAACACATCTCACCCTAAGCTACTGCACATTTATAACCGATTCCGGTTTAACTCACTTAGCCTCGTGCTCCCGCCTCTCTTCTTTAAAGCTGATCTTCACTCCAAGAATCAGCGGTTTTGGGGTATTATCAGTTGTAGTGGGGTGCAAGAATCTTAGCACGCTCCACCTTATTCGATGTCTGAATATTGCCACCACAGAGTGGCTCGAATATCTAGGCAAGCTCGAAACCCTTGAAGATCTCTGCATCAAGAACTGCCGCGCGATCGGAGAAGGCGATTTAATCAAACTCGGGCCCACTTGGAATAAATTAAACAAACTCCAATTCGAGGTGGATGCTAATTACCGATATATGAAAATGTACGACCGTTTATCAGTAGACCAATGGCAAAAGCAGTGGGTCCCGTGCGATAGCATGATCGAACTTAAGTTGGTCAACAGCATCATTAGCCCTGCTAGAGGGCTTGCTTGTGTGTTAGTGCAGTGCAAGAACTTGGAGAAGATTCACCTAGACATGTGTGTGGGGTTGAAAGATTCGGACATTGTAGGATTGGCTCGAAAATCGAGCAATCTTAAATCGATTTCATTACGAGTGCCGTCGGATTTCTCGCTCCCTCTTCTGACGAACAACCCGATTCGTCTAACCGATGAATGTTTAGAGGCATTGGCTCGAAACTGCTCGAAACTCGAATCGGTTCGATTGTCCTTTTCCGATGGTGAGTTTCCGTCGTTTTCTTCATTCACGGTAAACGGGATTGTTAATTTAGTACTAAAGTGTCCGATTAAGGAACTCGCACTCGATCATGTTTATTCGTTTAATGATTTGGGAATGGAAGCGCTTTGTTCGGCGGAGTTTCTTGAAGTGCTGGAGCTGAGTAGATGCCAAGAGATTAGTGATGGAGGGTTGGGGATTTTAGGACTGTATCCTAGGATTCGTGTGTTGAAGCTTAGTAAGTGTTTGGGAGTGAGCAACGACGGATTGAGGCCGTTTGTCGGGTCACACAAGTTGAAGGTTTTAACGGTCGATGATTGTCCGCAGATATCCGAGAGGGGGGTTCAAGGAGCTGCTGATTCTGTCACTTTCAGACAGGACTTATCTTGGATGTATTAGTGTTTTATTGTAAGGATTTGTGATTGTGTTTCATTAGGATATTTAGTTTTTTTTTTTTTTTTTTTAATTTGGTAGTGAATTTGGTGTAGTGTTTATATGTATTATATTATGTGTTAATGTGTATCTGCAGAAATTTGTATATGCGTGTGTAATATAAATAAGCTATTCCTGGAAGTTCTTGCAAAAACTTGCAAGATACGATAACACTAAATTGGAAAAATTACAGTTTTCATCCTTCAAGTTTGCATCGATTTCACATTTGGTCCCCAAATATTCATGAAAATTGCATTTAGTCTCTAATGTTTCAATAATTTAACATTTTTTGTCATTTTTGTCAATTTACCTAAAGTCCGTCGGCTAAGCCAGCGATGGGCAAAAACTTGATTCCGTTAGTACTAACGGAAAATCGACGAAAATGACTACAACTGTTGAATATTTGAAACACGGTGGAACCAAAGGTGTTTTCTGTAAACATGAGGGACCAAATATGAAATCAGTGCAGAACTTGAGGGGTGAAAACTGTATTTTTCCCCCACTAAATTTCAATCTAATAGTAACACACTTTCTCTGTGTATTTATCCAAAATCCAAGATTCACATAAACCCCCCATTTTCACCATATGGTCCCTCAGTAGAAAGCATGTTTTCTTGGTAAACTGATTTCTTTTTTTATTATTATTATTTTTTGGAATTATTATTACTTTAGTTTATTTTATTTTTATTTTTCTGTCTGTTTTTTAGGAGAAGCCCTTTACTACAATTCTCAAAGACTAGTATGGTCAGTGAAAGTAGACAGACATTCCATTTTGTTCCTTGTTAATTATTCTCAATTTATTCAAACTTAGGAACTTCCATTTTTTATTACCACATTTGGAATATAATATGCTCCAAAAACAAGCCAACATTTAATAACAATTGAGCTAACTTGTAATTCTGGTTTCAAAAAAAAAAAGGTCACTTGTTAACTGGAAAATTGGAGATATAAGAAAAAACAAAAAACTATTCAAGTTGATTAAGATTTTGCTTGCGGATTTGCAAATTTGATTCGATAATAAAAAATAAGTGATAAACAAAATTAAAAAAAATACGAACATGCCATTAGGGTTTTTAGGTTGGCCTCGTATTAATTACTTTTTAAAATTTTTGACTAATTATTAGAAAAAATATATGTTGAGCAAGTGATTTGAATATTTGGTGAATAAATAAGTTATTAGTTGAATTTGAGCAGCATATATATATATATATATATATATATATATATATATATATATATATATATATATATATATATATATATATTAAATGACCCACTTAATTAGTAATAATATATAAATTAAAGAGGCACTAAACAATTTAATTATATATGTACTAAAACAATGGAGTGATTTGATTGAATAATATAAATCAATCAAAATAATATATATATGAGTAAAAAAAAATTAAAATTTGTGTTCCCAATAACTACAACTACAAGCAAAGGTGACAATCAAAAGGTCCCTTTCACTTCACCCCAAAAGATTTACAGTCTTGATCAACACTGTTAAACCCTTGATTTTTTTTTTTTTTACCCCCCTTTCCCACAGTAGAATAACACTAATCTGCTATTAAACCATTAACGTAGAAAATGTATTAATTTAATCAGAGCCGTTGATTTTTAATCACAGGATATATATCCGCCTTTTACTTTGCGGATTTCGAGTGGCAGCACACGGTTACAATGGTGCACCTGACACTACCCTATTCAATCTCTCTCTCTCTGGTTAAAGCTGGTAATTATGGTCATATGTGCATTAGTGATGTAACGGTGACGCTTGCAATATTACAGTTCACGTAATCCAACGGCTAAGATCTAACAAAATATATTATATATATATATATATATTTTATTATCTGAAATGTTAAATGTCGTTTCAATTTTATTAATACCGTTTTGACTTCGAACCTGATTTTGACATATTTCTATTTCGATTTTGGCAAAATTCGAAACTTGACAACTGTAGTCCTTTGGGTTAGTTTTCTAATTCAACTTAAATCCGCTAGATTGGATGTCGTGTGACAAAGTTATGTATGAATTAGTCACATTTTGAATTTTAGATACCTAGCTCAATACATCAAAGTTGTGGGCAGTACCCATTGATTCATGTATATCTTTCTCGTCCGACATCCAAGTTGAATTAGAAAACTAACTCAGAATACTACAAATCCTATTTTTCGGGTTTTGCAAAATTTAGAATAAAAAATGACCAAAATAACGTTTGAAGTCGAAACGATATTATTAAAGCTCGAACGACGTTTATCACATCCCTTTTATTATACAGTAAACTTTTTTTTTTTTAAATATACGTATATTAATTATTTAGAAATTGATTTTACTAAATAAAATAAAATGTCGAGGTACAGAAAATAATCGAAACCTAAAAATTGAGAGCATGTCAATTTCATACGAAGTACAGTTAAACTTCTAAAAATAAATATAGTCGGAACAGGTTAATTTATATTAATTTAGCGAAATATTAATTTAACGATATAAGTTTTAACATGTTGCCCTCAAGTTAGGACCGAAAAAATATTAAGTAAACGATGTTAAAAAATTTATCGAGTATCCAATTTATCGAGGTTCTACTCTATATAAGAAAATGTATTTTTGAACAGGTGTATGTTAAAAAAAAAAAAAAAAAAAAAAGTTACTGTAAGTTCTTTTAATTTTAATTTTTTTTTAAAATTCCTTCACCGAAAATATGATATATACAGAATAATAATGTATAATGTGATTGCAATTAGCAAATGGGTGATGCTGTAATAAATGCGTATCTGCCATCTGTCAAGCAAATGGGAAGAATTATGTGTAAGGTAAAATGCCAAAAAGGGGTTATGGTCTTGTCAACAATTGACAGGAATCTGCATATTGGATTTTTTGTTTTAAAACTATCTTTTTTTATTTTTTAAAATTATTATATAGATCCCAAATAATAATTAATTGATCCATTGAACCCCACCCAAATGAATAAATCATTATATGGAAATCTGTTGGAATTGATAATTAAAAGGAATTCTGATGAGTGAAATGTAAGCCACTAATTGCTCAGCACCGGAGGATTGATCACACGAGAATAATAAACTAATTACGTTGGTGAGGTAAAGCTCGTGGATTGGCTGAAAGAAATCGATGCACGTGATCGAACTGAAGGCTTGGAAGAACAAATCGAGTTTTGCAATAGAAAAAATTCTGAAGTTTTGATCTTCTAATTGTATCGATTGAAAGTTGTAAACTTTTCCTGATTAGTAGTGAAATAAAGATTTTGTTCCCTTCATTAATCGTGTTTGATTTACAGCTGAATCATTCTATTTCCAGATTCAGTTTTCTCTGGCTACAGTCTACATATAATTAATAGTCCATGTATAATTAGAGTTATTTGTGCTGAATTGAGTTTGATTCTCAACATAAACTAAGAAGGTAGGTCGCATAAGACAAATAATTCGATCAAATTAAATGTAAATTAATTAGTTGACAAAGCATCACTCAATTAACACTAATCAAATCATTTGTTGAATTAAAAACCAATAGTTATCTTAAGGAAGAAAAGACACATGACTTAAGAGGATGTTTGACTAAGCTTATTCTAAACAATTGATAAGCTCTTATGTCTGAAAAGATGTTTTAAGAGCTGATAAGCTGTTAGTTGACTCGTACATAAGTTAATTGAGGATAAATAATCATAATATATAGTGTACCACCGTATTTCAATTATGTGAGTGAATATACCCTATTTGTTTCATAACATCTACCACATTTAAAATAAAAATAAATTTGTTGTTACTTTATAATTTTCGATATTTCCCCTATACCAACACTATTTTTTTCAATTTTCTTCCTCTCTCTTATTAACTAGAGGACAAGGGCATTTTCGTCTAAAATCATTTATTTTTGTGAAAAAAAAAAACAATTAATTTCCCCCACTGACTATAAATAGTGGGAACTTGGATTGTAATTTTAATTTGTTTGTTTTTCATAAAAGATTTTGTCTTTCTCTTACATCATTAAAATCTCTACTAAAAAGATTTTCCAAAATGTTAGCAAATTTATTTCCCAAACTGGAACTTCTCGAACAAGCTGATGATCATCAGATGCTTAATCAATGGCCTCATAATAATCACTTCTTCTTGTTCCAAAGTGATTTTCTGGCCCAAAGTCGTCGTGTTCTTCCATCCACCGCTTTTTCAGGCGACGGCGACGAAAGCGCAGCCGCCGCCGCCCATGATGATCATCATCATCATCACCAACAAAACCCTCCTGTAGTTCTTGAAGGGATCGCCGCCGTTGTCGGGGAGCATGTCCTCTTCGGAGGCGGCGCCGCAGTTAAAAATAAGCACGTTGTTGGTGGTGGTGGTGGTGGTGGTGATGATGTCGTCGGGGTGAAGAAAAGCTACCGGGGGGTGAGGAAGAGGCCGTGGGGGAGGTGGTCGGCGGAGATACGCGACCGCATAGGACGGTGCCGCCACTGGCTAGGCACATTCGACACGGCGGAGGAGGCGGCGCGTGCCTATGACGCGGCGGCGAGGCGGCTGAGGGGGTCCAAGGCGAGGACCAACTTTCATATTCCGTCTGTTTTGCCGGCGGTGGTGCCGTCGTCTTCAAGCTCGTCTAATAATAATAATAATAATAATAATAATAATTCATCAAAGAAGAAGAGGGGTAATAATGGAAAAGGGAAAATGGTGAACGTTAGCAAGAAGTGTTCGGTTGTAACTTCTGCTGCGCATCTATTTGGCCCAATTCCCGACAGCGAAAGTGAAAGGCCGCCGCCGCCGCCGGGTGTTAGTTTGGAGCTTCGTCTGAATCTTGGTCGGAGTTTTACCGACAGAATTGCAAAACCCTAATTACATATGGTTGGTTACCTGGTTCATCACTGTAATAATAATTACTAATATAAGTATGTTTTAGTTTCTTTAATTAGGGTTTTTTTGTGCTGTAATGAATTTTTGATGCATGTACAAATCTTTTGACTTGGCTTGTATGTTTAATATAATTTGAATGTTTTTTTCTAGCCATAATATATAATTGAGATTGAATTTTGAGCGGGTCAGCCGATATTTAATATAAATTGATTTCACTAATTTTTTGACATGTGACATCCTTAAGTTTTAATTCTTAATAAATTTTGCTGATAATAATTTTTTTTTTCTAATTATATTTTTATTTAAACTATCAACGTGTTAATCATCCTATAGCATTCGATTTTTCTATTATAACATGTCATTCGGTCTAAATTTGCACACTATATAATTAATGTGAAATAAATTAATAGTTTATTATATAATATTTTAATTTTAATAATTCCTTTTTTTAGGGATAAAAAAAATTGTGCCACCGGTGAGTAGGGGCCCCCGGCCACCGTACATCTTCTTACAGCATTTTCAGGCGAGAGGTGACGGCGCGTCAAGATTAATCAAATCCCACGTGCGTAGGCAATCGTCAGTCACAGTTTTATTAGATTAAAATCGAATTAATTAATTAATTAATTAATTAAATCTTCATCCAGATTCCAGAATATAAATTAAAGATTTCAAGAATTTTTTTGGTTCTTTTTAAAATGTTATTTAGATTAAAAAATTAAATTTTTCTTCGAATTTAAAAATATTCAAAAATAAAAAAGGAAAAACAAAACTGACGTGGCAGCTTTTGAGTATGGGAAAAAAAGAATCCCCCGGATTTATTGGTACTGATATTTTATCTGACTAAATATGTAAACAGTACAGTACTATATTTACTGATCATTACAGTCATAATAAGTAACTAGAAACTAATTAATTAATAAATAAATTAATAAATAAAAAAGCTGATTAGTTACAACTACTCTTTAACTTATTTTCAAGTAATCACTTATATTTTCACTTACAGCTTTGTGTGCAATAAATGCAGAAGCTAAGCTGAATCTAAGATAATTTTGATATCTAATTTATTTTCATTGTGTCAGTCTTTAGTTAATACTCCTGCATTGCTGATCTTAGCTCTTTGACTTCACAATCACAGCTTCTTAATTA